AAAAAAAAAATTAAAAAAAAAAATTTCGAACTTCGAAAAAGCATTGATTTTTGTCAAAAAACTGAAAAATTCCATATGTATTGACTTACAAAAATTTTTTAATATTTTTTATCGGAAAGTACATCTAAAAACAAAAATTTTGAAAAAAAAAGGTACCTAAATGTTTAGTTTTGAAAAAGTTATGGCTATTTGAAAATAAAAAAGCCATTTTTTTGAAAAATTCATAACTTTTTTGGAGTTAGGTAAAAAAATTCAAAAAAATTCTGAGAACCGTTTTTTATAGGGTAGAAAAGGATGGAAAACTTTCGGCCAAATCGAAAAGGGTCGGGGTCAAAAGTGGTCGATTTGGCATGGAATACCCCATATACTGTTTCTTGTAAATAATCACCTTTTTTTGTTAATAAAGGGAAGTTGGAATTGAAAAATGTACATTAATTAATTCATGGATCAAGTGCTGTATACATTTTTCTGAACTCGTTGAATTTATTTCCAAATTTTTTTTACAAATGTAATATAAATAAGAGCATTTTATAAATGCTATAATTCTTCCATATTTCAGTATAATTATTACTGATGTTATTTTCTATCTGCACGCTACTCTGCATTATTCTTGTATATTATATATAAATTCTTAAGCTCGAAATTTTATTCACTTGTTTGACTATCAAGCTGAAATAACTAATTAATTTTCTTTGAAAAATTTTTATTACTACAAAAAAAAAAATGAATGAAGAAAAAAATATTCGTTTGACTCTAGAACATAAAATGTTTCATTTATAATAATATTAATATTGATAACTTAAGTACAGTAATTCATAAAAATTATATGTTGATAATTTACGAATGATACAAATAGATGTGGATCTACTGAATAAAGAAAAATGAAATTATTGTTCACCGTTAAATAATATGATGGTAGATATTAAATAAGTTTTTATTCATAGAAATATTAAATTTTTACTTTGTTATTTAACAAAATATACAATTATAATTGTAATAATTGGGTGTGGTGCATGCCTATACACAGAATTTGTCTACATTTTGAAAACTCGAAAATGTATCTCTATATGATTCAAGCTAATACGATTTTTTTACACAGGAAAATCTCTACACAAGATTAATTCTATACCGCGACATCACTACACACGTAAAAATTTATAAACAGAATATCTATACATACGAATATTTCTCAAATTTAAAATCCCTACACAGCGCTAATTTCAAATCATAAGCACTCGACATTCAATTTAAAAAAAAAGAATATGCATATATGTTAGTATTAATATTGATACATTAATTAAAAAAACTCCTCGGATTGAATTGTTCATTTTTTTTATTGAAGAAAAATAAAAAAGCAGTTATTCGTTTAAAAATTACAAAATGCGTTGCTGAGATTTTAACAAATAATACAACCTTTTTCTTTAGTTTGATATAACAAATAAATTTTAATATTTGAAACAATTGCATAAAAGTATTTTTTAATTTCTAAAAGTAGCATTTTTGAGAAATTCTCTCTCGAATGAATTATTTCGGTGACATTAAAATAATTAATTTTATTTAATTGAATTTAGTAATGATAATGATTTATTATTTTGTGCTTTTTACATTTTGATCTCACAACAAAATTCAAAATCAAAATAATCGATTACTTTTTTGTTTCTTAAGCTGAATGTTGAGCGTTTACAATTTAAAAATATCGCTGTGTAGAGGTAAACTGTGTAGAGATTTAAAATCTGAGAAATATTCGTATGCATAGATATTCTGTTTATTATTTTTATGTGTGTAGTGATGCCGCGGTATAGAATGAATCTTCTGTAGAAATTTTTCGGCGTAAAAAAAAACGTATTAGCTTGATTTATATAGGGATACATTTTGTGAGTTTTAAAAATGTAGACAAATTTTGTATAGGCATGCATCACACCCGTAATAATTTACTTTATAAATAGGGAAATAAAAATTCAAGTAAGAATTTGTAAATGACATTTACCACTTTGTAATTGTATCAACTCGTATTTGACGATTTTTTTCAAATTGATATTTTATTTTGCACAATTTCTTCAACCTTACAACATATTTCTAAATTTATTTATAAAAAGACATACTTTAAATATGAATAATAATTTTAAAAAATAAATACTAATACACGAGATAAAAATGTACAATATAGTTTGGTTGCAAAAATAAGTAAATAATTTTTTTTTGTTCCTTACACGTCTCTTCATTCTTTTCATTCTCATTCATTCGTATACGTACAGCAAACTGAAAAATAATACAATCTGAAGTCTATTTCAATATTCAAATGTCAGATCGATACTTCCATTTTATGGTCAGCGAGAATCGACATTATTATCATTCATATCGGTTATAAAAATATTTATCAAAATATAGGTTCAGTTTTATAACTTATTAATGATTGTATCTGATTTTTACGATTAGTAATTGTGAAAGGCTGACTAAATATACTTTGAAGCAACTTTATATGATTTCTATTTTGAATAATAATCATGAAAATAATTATTTTAGGATTAAATTTTTGTTATATTTAAAAATCATTGAAAGTTATATACCAGTAATTTCGAGACTAGTAAATAATGTATGAATTAAAAATGTAAGTTGTAAAAAATTGAATACTGGTTTTGGAATGTATTTGATCGCTCGCGACCATTTATGATTCTTTTATTTATTAATCATAGTACTGCTCCATAAACTGCTTAGAAGTAAAGTTGTCAAATAAATAAATACTAAAACAAATACTCGATTACTATTCTCATTTTCAAATAATAGTAATGCAACGATAATAATCATAATAATAATCATAATAATAATAATAATAATAATAATAATAATAATAATAATAATAATAATAATAAAAATAAAAATAAAATAATAATAATAATAATAATAATAATAATGCACGTAAAGTTTTAATACTTATTATCATCAATTCCCTTAAAAATTTTTAATCTAAACATGATTTGTAGTAAATTAATGGATTCAATAAAATTAATAATTATAAAATAATGGATAACTTCAAAAATAAAAATTGGCAATAAGTAATTATTGATGTAATCTAACCAATATTCTTCACACTTTTGTCATATCTCTAATTCATGCTCTCTCTCATATATATGCACACACATATAATTATAATTATGGTATATGTCAGAGTGGTTGATAAAAACTTAATTTTTCAAGTATTCCAAAATTAGCTTTTTCATATGTGTATGTAAGCAATAAAAGTTTATTTTTTGAGAAATTTTCAGTTTTGTTAGATATCTCATAAAATATGGAATTTTATCTAAAAAATTCTAATAAAAACTTTACAGGAAAGTGAATTTTTGATCAATAATTTCATATTCATAAAAATATTAAAGAAAAAAGTTTCGTAGATTTTATCTAATAGATTGTTTTTCAATTAGAAACGTTAAAAAATGCATAAGTCAACGGCTTTAAACAACTGAATAATTACAGATACTTGATGTTAAAAATTATTGGTACATTGATTAATACGAAATCAACTTTTCTCCCTGGGTTTCGTCGAAAAGGCGCTTATAAACTTATTAATATTTTATGTTTTTGAATAGTGAATCAAGCCAAATTTGGTTACACAGATTTACGAATGTTTCTTTTAGAACAAAAAGTTTTTTGTTGTTAAAAAAAAGCTAAAAGTTAACAATTATGGACTTTAAAAAATCTAATTCTCAACAACCACTCTATACATACATATATATATATATATGTATATTTTAATAATAAAGTTAATATAATTATAATAGCGTTTAACATTGTTTTTTTCAATAATATGCGGCATATTAACACATCGTAAATATATTTGTCGACTAGAATTTGTAACAAGGATGTATGATCTTCGGTATCGTTCCGCTTAAGTCGCCAGGCACGACGAAACTTGGAATTCTGTCAAGAATTGTAGTGTTGACAAAAATTTTCAACGAACTGCTGTATTGTAGTAAGGTTTAATGAATGTTTGGTAATTGATAATAGTCTGTTAGATTATCTTGTAACTTTTGTGTATCCGTGACTTATTTCTGTTCTCTGGTACCGGCGTATATGCACTGTAAGTATCTTTCTTTTACTTTTTGCGACCGAGGTATTCTATCATTTCCTGGAATTTTTCCTCTTCATCCTCAAGAGTTAGAACTTGAATACAACTCTTAAAGTAATTAGTCTTGAAGCAATCTTGCCTGTTTAGAAAAAAAAAATAATGTATTAATCAAATTATATTCATTCATTTTAATATAAACTAAATACTGTTTTAGTTAAATTAATATCTTATAGTTTATTATTATTAACATGCGAAAAGAGTATGGAAAATATATGTATTTAAGATCCAGATTTATTAGATGTAAAATTACTGTCATGCAGCACTGTTAATTATGCTATTTCACATTCGATGGTAGTAGTATTAGTAAATCTTAATTGATTAGTTATTTGATTAATTAATATACCGAAGAAAGATATACAGCGTAGATGTCGGAATATGTTAGTTGAAAATTAAATTTTCATTTATTCATTTTCCTCAAGTAGTGAAAAATTGCCTAACATTCAATCATAGCTTTAAATCTTTAGTAAGCTTTTATAATTCAATTCATCGCTTCAAGTCTGAGATAAAAATAATATTTATTAGTTTATTTTATAATTAGCGTAGATATTATGTTATTAAAATAAAAATAATAAAAAAATTAATATCCAAATTTATAAATAAAAATGAAATTGAGATGAATAAAAATAAATAAAAAAACTACCTAAACTCCAGGATCAGCTCCATGGAGTTGTTTGATTGCATTTTTAAATTGTTCAATCTCATCTTGCATCAATAATGTTTCCACACATCCTTTGAAGTAGTATGTCGTGAAGCAGTCCTTTCTGCAAACGTTTATTTATAACGCAACTCTCAAATAAAAGTTTATCATCGTCTACTTATTGTTTTCATTTAGAATATTGGGGTAAGCTTTAATTAATCTATAACTTATTTAATTGAAATATCATATTTGAAAATAGCGAATCTTTAGAAGATAGTGTGATCTATATAACTATTAAAAACAAAAAGTGATATTGTGCAATGACAACATTTATTGTTTATAAAAAGTTTTTGAAAAAACTTTTTCTCTATACGCAGATAAAAACCAATATATCAGTGCAAGTTGACGTGGTGTAAGGTATTAGCTATAAATAGAAGAGAAATCTTATTCCGTTTCTATACGTGTGCTAAAGCGCAGCAGCTGTTCGATTGGAGGCATTGAAACCAAAGTCTATGATGGGATTTGCCGATACATATATGTATAAGAATATATTCAGATATGCATAACTACTACTCCATCTGTTACTTACTGAAAGTTGTATGTATATATTGCTAATCAGTAGCCATCGATATTTACAGGAGCCTGGTTTATCTAATTTTTAGTGGACAATTAAATCCGATCATGTGACCCATTTGTAATAATAGAAATTAAATTTATATGAATAAAAAATAAATTATCACCTGCATAGAGTGTGAAGTTGAGGTTCTCGGAACAGATTAAAGCAATCTTCACAAACACGATCAAGTCGTGCGAAGATACTTTTGTCATATACACCCTTGCAGCCTAAATCGAAATAGGACCGTTTGCCAAGTGAATGACCCATGACTATACCAGCGTCAGCAACATCAAGGCAAGACGATATCAATAGTATTGTAACAGACCAAGCAATAATAGATAAAAGCACTGATGAAGATACGAAGTTTTTATTGATGTATAGTGGTGAAGAAAAGTTGACTATCCTTCCTGACATTCTCGTTATAGATGTTGATAGAAGATTCACTGGTTGACAAGTATGCTGATTTCGTGCACTTGGAATAGATGTTGCTAGCTTTACAGATAAATTAGTAGTAGATAATGATGACGGTTGTCGTTGGTGATGAAGTTGCATTATCTGAAAAATTAAAACGAAATCTATTTTAAAATTTGTGACTTACATTTATCTGAAAAATTTAGTTACATGTATTTTAGATATTTGCTATACGCTAATTAAAATACTATCTTGATCCAAAAGAAATCCAAGAGATCCAAAAGAAGTTCTTAATTCGAGAAAATTAATTTTAAGAACAACCGGTTGCCTTGTTTCAAAAATTTCTAGCCTTGAATTTCGTCATCTTGACTTGAGAGATTAACATTTTTCAATTAAAAGTATATTATTGTTGATATAATCAAATTTTTTATCCAAGAACAATTTTTTTCAATTAAGAAAAATTCCATTTCTTTTAATAACTTTTTATTTTAGGTTCAAAGACTAGTTTCTTTATACAAAATAGTAGAAAAATCTTTTATTAAACTGAAATGTACTTCCACATATTCTGAAACCTTTTTGAAACTTTTCTTATGCAATTATTGTTCAGAAATAAAGAAGTTATTGTTTCAATTCTAGATGAGAAGTTTATTTGTTAACCGAGCATTGCGTCTCTGATAGTACCTGACTAAAAACTGTGAATTTTCATTAGTTTGTTCACAAAACAAAAAAAATCTGAAAAAGGGTTGACTCTGTAGGCCATCCCTGGAACTTCTCGCAATGTAAAATTTCTAATTACAAGGATTTCGAGAAACCTTTTCGAATGCCGCATATCACGATTTGATCGATTAAGAGAAAAGAAATTAATTTGTTGGAAATTTTCAACAATTTTATTTCGTAGCTGAAGAAATACAAATTTTACTTAAGTACAGTAACTTTCTTGTTGAAAAAAAGTTTTCTTGATTTTAGAAAAAACTATTTCGGATGAAAATTCTCAATTCGTCTATTTAAAATTGCTTTTTTTCGAATCAAATAAACTTTTTTTCAATAAGTTACTATAAGAAAAATTTTGATTTCTTTAGCTAAGAAATCAAATTTTTGAAAATTTCCAACAAATTAATCTCTTGTTATAAGAATGCCCATATTTTTCAAAAAAAATGTTTCTTCCCGTGTAGATTGAAAATATTCTTAACATTAATATCACATTTCATAAAGTGATCAATTTGGCGCACAATGACCCGCGTGTGAAAATTTCATATGATTATATAATTTTGAAACAAGTAGATTGATTGAAACGAAATTCATGTTATCTAAAACAAATTATGAGTATTTTTACATTTTGTATAAATATGAGCTTAATGGGTAAAAGAGATTTCAATATACTAAAAATAAACTTTTTTTTTTTATAATTTAACTTCCAATTTATTCATTAGATTATATTCAAATGCACCATATTTATTTAGGTGAAAAAAGTCTTATTTGATTTTAAAAAACAGTTCATTTATTAGAACTTTTACAGTTTTTTTTTACTAGAATGATTGTATCTGTCTCATACACAGTTAGTAATAAGTATATATAGGATAGAACAGTCGACAGTTTTTTTTAAAAAAATTAAATAAATAATTCAATTATACGTTTTAGTGTATTAATTGAGCGTTAGGTCGATACGTGATACTCGGGGCATAATGGACTACCCATAGAGATTTATCAGAAAAAATGTTGTTTGACGAAATAAAATAGAAAAAAAAATGTCTACTGTCGATAAGAAATTCTAAATCTATAAAAATAAATAGGAAATTGTAACAAACGATCTAAATAAAAAATTTTTTTATCTGAAACATTATTAAATAGATTGTTATTTAAATATCGATATATTAATAGTAATATATTTTACTGCGGCAAATTTATAGTAAAAAAAATTGTTACACGCACATTTTAATCTTGAAAACGATCAGAAAGAACTTCAGAACGAACTTTCAAGTATTAATTTCTGATGAAATCTCAAGTTCCGAAAAATTAAAGTAAAAATTCTAAAAAATCTCATAATTTTCTGAGAAGGAAGTTATAAATAATCGTTACAAAATATCTTAAAGACCTACATAGTATTTCTAAACTTTAAAGAGATCGAAATTACACTTTTAATAGCATCTTCGAACTCTGCAGGATCAGTGGGAAATTCTAAAGACTGCTGTAAGATGTGTATGTTTTTGCGTGTGTTTATGAATTCGTGTGTGTTTGAATTTGTGTGTGTACAAGAATAACGAAAGGTTACGAAGTTGTCGGCATACTATGAATGGACCACACGCAGGTATCGAGTTCCTTTCTTTCCACCTGTAAACGTTCTCAACCGACGACTTCATTAACCGGTCTTTCTCTTTCTTGCTTATTGCCCCCCCTCGCTTCTTTATCTTCTTCCTCTTTCTATCATACTCTTGAGTGCCTTTCATTCCCTACTTTTTTTTTCTCTTTTTTTTGAGTATATAATCACCGCTCTCGGGTGGGATTTTATTTTTAGTTGCTAAATTCTCAGAATTTTTTTCCTGCACTTGAGGGTGGGGGAGAGGTAAAACTTTTTTTCTCTAAGTACCAAAAGCCGTTCATATAATTAGCTGACGGGTGATAATTTGCTTCATAGGATCTCACGATCATTAAATTTTTGTTAAATTTTACAAAAATACAATTATTTTACACATAAAAGACAAGTTTCTTTAGTTTTAGTTATATTTTTTTTTATATTTGTTTTTTTTTCTCTAACAAGTTTTAGTAGTGATCGTTATGTCTTAAAATTTCTATAGTTGTTTCAATGTTACTTTCATCATTATGAAAGAAAACAAACAAATTTGATTATTTATTTACTGTCGATCTAAATATGTTTATTTAACGTTATATTTAGATTTATGAATTGTTAAATTATACATTGTTAAATAATGTTTAGTTATTGAGATAAAAAAAAATAAAAAGTTATTGTCATAAAATAAATTTAAAAAGTGATTGAGGCTTAAAAAAGAATTATTATCACTAGATAGATCAATTCTTCTCAACAGGTGGTCCTTTCTTTAAAAGATGACTTAATCATGAAGACGAGTTGCCGCACAGACTCTCGACATAAAAGAAAGAAAAGAAAAAAAATAAAGAAAAGAATAAAATTACTCACTCGCATGAGTTTGCGCGTAATGCGTGTCTTCTGCTATCCTTGTGTATTTTTGCGGACTTTCATGAAATACAGAGAGGGTCGAGCCTCTAATTAGAAGCTTGCCCGCCGTTCTGTGGGTTTTACCATAGAACATATGCTTTTTAATATGGACCATACAATATATACACCGTAGCTTGCTGGGTAAAAGCCAAGAGTGGCGCCCAAAAAGAAGACGCCTATAAATCAGCCGACCACGAGTCGGCGGCAGAACTTTTGACGTTTCTGATATCTATTAACCATGTAAATACTCATGCAAACTATATTGTTAAGGCTTGCTCGACCACTATCCCTTCTTACTCATTAATCGGTTTCACTGAGTTGACCAAAAATATCTTCGAAGACTATGGAAATAAGTAGAGAGCATCAAACAAAACTACAAACGTTTTATTGACAGCTTCATTATTTAAGTTTAGATTTATTATTATTCAAAAATAAAAAGATCTTTATTTACCTTCGCATTGTTGATGCTCATGTTGTTTTATAAAAAAATTTTGTTTTTTTTTTTTACTCATAATTACAAATCGTTCTTATAAATCTCTAATTTTTCATCAGTAATTTTAATTAGGTTTGCGATAATAGGCTTATTTTCGGAAAATTTGGAACTGATCAAATTTTAAAACCATTCAATTTCACAGTTCCAAATTCATTTTAAAAAACAAAATTTTTTTCATACAGTATACTTTTGAAACTATCAAAAAATTGACTTAACCGACTATACGTTGACATTTTGGGAAAATCTAAGAGTAGCTATGAGCTTTATTGAATGCCACACATCAAATTAAAATTACACTCACAGTTAAACAAAACTAAATATAACTTTCCAAATTTTTGAAAATATACGATTTCCCTCGCGGGAGGTTAAAATATTGTGTCTGTTCTTGAAATTATTTCGAAACTACTCGTCCGATTGAATTTTATTTAAAATTTAATCAGATATAAGTTCCGAAAAGCCTTTTTGAATGCCTGAAACTTGATCTTAATCGGCTGAATCGTTCTAAAGATATCATAAGATAAAAACACACATAACATACATTCAAGCACATGTGGAAGATTCATTCATAGTTATATCTGGCTTGATCCAAAAAATTTTTCTCTCTTACGTTTTTAATGATATATTTTTATTTGTAGTTGACAAAAAAATATTTAAACATTAAAATAAATATTGTGTGTTAGAATATATGAGTAGAAATGAAAAAAATTTCAAGAAACAAAAGATAAAAAATATAAATAAAAAAATACAAATATTTATAAAATCGGTTACCGTCTGCATCTTTTTCTATAAGATATAAGATTTAAAGAATATGAAAAAAAAAAAAATACAATTCTTTATATTTTTCCAATGAATTGTTTTTGACTTTACTTTGAAAGTGGTCGGAATAGCTTTTTGGAACATTAAAATGTATACATTTAATAAAAATTCGATTTTCAAAAAACATACTAAAAAATACGAACTTTAAAAAAATTTACAATTTCTTTAAAATTACAAATAGACTACATTGTAATGATATAAGATTTTCAACGAAATGAAAGTTTACAAATAATTTCATCGATCACGTTGAAGTTGATTAGCAAATATTTCAATGAGTATTATAATATTGGTATTGGTACACATGAACTATTTTGAATGCAGTGGAGTCTCTACAACTTTTATTTTGAGGTTTAAAAAATTCAAGGATTTAAAGAGAATACACGGCAGCAGACTACCCTCCCCACTACTTTTTGGGAGAAGATGTTCGGGAGTCAAAGTTTTAGGACGGAAATGTTATAGGGACTTCGCCGTACTAGCAATAACACATACTTTTAATCTCTCATTTCTCACGTATTGAGAAAACCCTTACATGTTAATTTTTATTTGAAATACTAAAAACACTATCTGAATTATCAATGCTAATTAATTAAGAACTCATCCATTATTAATCCAAAGTTGTCCTCACACCGGCACTTTCAATTTATTTAGCCCAAGATTTCTAGT